AAGAAACGTGGTCAACCATTCAGCAGGACACCAGCATTTTGACTTCCATATGTCGGCCGCCAAATCATCGGGACCTGTAGCTTTTCCTGACTTCATCTTCTTCAGAGCCCTTTCCGTTTCCTCCACGGTTATTCTCTGCACAGGACCTTGCACTGGCGGACATAAGGGACTGCTGGATGAGCAAATTCTACTGCTGAGATGTTCTCGAAGTAATCATGCCATCGCTTCACTGCTTTCTTGCGGTCCGTCAGGAGGTGACCATTTTCGTCATTGATGCCGAAAAACTTCTCGATATCCTCGGACTGGCGATGGCGGGCTTTGGCAAGTCGATAAACATAGCGTTCACCATCGCGCGTCTCGAGCTTCTCGCTAACATCAGCAAAGTGGGCAGCTTTTGCGGCAGCAACGGCCTTCTTTGTCGCATTCTTAGCTGCCTGATAACTCCGCCAGTTGTCGACAGTCTTATCGCCAAGAAATACGTGGTATAGCCTCTTCTTCTCACGTACTTTTTCTTTAACATCGTCCGTCCATAGCCACGCTTGCTTGTCGATCTTCCGTCGCCCAGGTTTTGTTGTGCCGAGTTCGGAACGGGCAGAACGGATTATCGCCTCGGCAGCACTTTTCCAAGTTTCATCAACAGTAGTGACTGCCGGCAACTGAATGTTGGATATCACGACCGCTCCTTCTCTTTCAAACGCCACCACTTGATTCTCGCTGGTCCACACCGCTCGATTTGTTTCAATTTCGGAGGAGCGATCTTCAGCGTGCAAATCAGCGGTCGATGTTGCGTGGTGACCGTCTCATACGGCACCGCCTTTGCGTCTGTTACGAGCCCTCGATCGCGTTGCCTGACGAGGACAAAATCGATTTGCGTTCTGGTAGTTACCGCTATAGAAGGTGATGAGGTGGGAGTCACGTTTCCGGAAATTCGTGTTCACGATGGTGAGATTGTGCGAGTTTGCATACTCAAGAATTCGTTCGCCATCGGTGTTACGTGACCCATATCCAAAACCACCATGACAGTTGTAACCGTCTTTCGTAGCGCCACGTGACCATTGAGGTCACCTGCGACAATTATAGCTTCTTGTGACGGTACATCAGCTGTCTTTTCATCCAGCAGGTCCAGAACTCGTCCTTGGCTTGCTCGGAGCAGCCAGTCTGCGGAGCGTACGCAGAGAAGAAGTGGTATCGCTTACGTTCGATGACGACAACAATCTTCATTAACGGTCGTCGAAGCGCTCAACGCTTACTATCGAGTCACGGAAGCGTTCAGAAACAATATCCGACGCCATGGTGGTTCTGGGACCGCCACAAAGAACGGCTTTGAAGCCTCGGCCAATATCTCTCGATCTGCAGCAGGACCACCTCGTTTCCTGCACGGCACAGAAATCAAGCGCGTCGGCTCCCGCGGAAGCCGTAGCTTTATCTCGGAAATTACATGACGACATAACATTTGTGATGTGACGTGGGTGTTCGTAGGCCGGCCTGTCACGGGGGCCTGTCGCCTGCATTCGAATGTCCGCGATCAGCTCAGCTCACAAAAGTGAGCAGTTCCCAGTGGCACCACTTGGAGGAGCGGACCCCACCACTTAGTTCGATCACGACTACGGTCAACAAAATGTTGCAAAGGTGTAACTGCACGAGAAGAAAATTTTTTTGCCTGTTGCGCCGTCTACTGCAGGCGCGGCTTTCCGAGCACTGTGTTAGTGAGACAGTATTCTGGATTAGCGTCGGAATATCTCAAAACCAGGTTTGCTCCGCCCGCTATCGCGCGCATCACAGGGTAGGGAGGAACCACGGAATAGCAGCATGACGTACTCCATTAACCACCTCACTATTGAATGTGTTATACCTCCTTATACCCCTTCTCTGGCAGCACCATGTTCTCCCTCCCTTTCTCTCTCCCCTTCCCTCCCTCTCTCTCCCCCCTCCCCTCTACCGCCCGCCGACTCCGGCTGCCCCGGCAGCACCATGTAGAATGAGGCTGAGTGTGCTCGTTCGGTGTTTTTAGCCATTGTGGGTGTTATCACAATCACCACATCAGGTTAGAATAATACGTCAACATGAATATAGACCTTACTCTTAAAAACGGTCGTTCTCTCTCAGTCTCTCCTCCCCCACCTCCCCCTCCTTATACCCTCCTCTCCGGCGCATGACAGCGCCATGTTCTCCCTCCCTTTCTCCTCTCCCCCTTCCCTCCCTCTTTCTCTCTCTCCCTCCCTTCTTGCCTCCTTCCCCGCCCCCTCCCCCTCCCCCCCCCCTCGCTCAT